AATTTTGGCGTCGCCATATTGGTGGGTTAAAGGCACATGTGACTAATGTGCTAGATGACATCCTTCTCAAAATGTCCTAGTTGAAAAAGGGATAGTTGGGAGGCACTTCACTAAGAGTATTTCATTTTTTCGTGACTTTGTTAAGTCGTTGAAATATTGTCTTGGCGCTCCAAACGGTCGGTCGCCATCTTGGGCTTATCCGTTATTCCACCAGCATGGCCTTGGCGGCTATCTATAGCGATAAAATGTAGCCGTCACGTGCAAGCACCCTGTAAGTGGCAAACGATGTCTAGCCAAGTTTACCGACCACACGGCCGCGGGGTTCCCTGGCGCCGGTGAGGTTTCCACCGAACAAGCGTGCCCGTGACGCCCGTGAAGTCCCGACCGCTGTACCCAAAACATCGCGACGGAAGCCCGCAACACCCCCATTAATAGAAATCCCTGCTAGGAAGTTTACATTGAAACTCTACCGCCTGGGTATTGTGTGACACACTATTGAAGCAAGGTTGTGTCATACACAACCGCCAAATTTGATCGCCCTGTCCTTGCTAACTGCACTAATACCCACTCCAACAACTTATCGTGTGTAGACAGAGAAATATTATAACCTATAGTACTTGTCTAGGTGGGAAAACTTGACATTGGGTGGTGTGAAAACAAAGTGATCTCTATAATTAGGTATAATTGGGTTTATTTTGGTGCACTGCCAATGAAGTGAATGTTTAAGGTTTTATCGTTAAACTTGGAGGTAATGAAATTATTTACTAACTTTAGGTATATAAAAAGCAGATGTCTTTTCTTAAACAGTACAACTTTTAATTATTAACTGGGTGATCCTTAATTTAGCATACTTGCAGAGAGACAGTTTTAGGCATGAGAAAGTACATCTAAAGAAAAAGGTTTAAATCCACTCGTTTGGCACAGATTAAACGACAACATTTCAATTTGGTAAGCTTCTGACTGTATCCGCTACGATTAGGGCCATCAATAAATGAGTACAATGCAAATATTTGATGGAGCACACAAATTGTGTACATGTATTCAGAGCTTACCAGGCCAAAGTATGAAATGCGGGACCAATATATGATGGAATATCGACATTTTAATGTGTGCGCCGTGGGAGGTAAAACTAACCACCACCGTTCGTTGGCTTTATCAGAACTCCCGCGAAGTTGACCTTATAGGTGTGACCTTGAGGTCAAACATGGCGGCCTTCCATGTTGTCGGAAGTGCGGAAGGTAATGGCGGGCGGATAGTTCCGGTCGAACGGGAGGAAATAAAAGCCGTGTCGTATCGATAAAAGCGTAATTTTTCATTCGATTCTTACGCGTATTTACTGACTGATTCCAACATGACATGTTTTCGAAGCGATTCAAACTTGCCGTGCGGTTTCGTTGAAAAGCGAACAGGTTTCGCTCAATTACCATGTCATTCAGGTGATTTAGACATCCTGCCACATCCCATACGATGATCACTGTTCACCTTTTGGTTTCATCACCGATACGTATACTAGTATGTACCCAACTTTGACTTCATTATCACAAGGAACAAAGCATATTATGGGGTCGTGTGGCGTAACGGTAGTGTTCGACTTGGAACCAAGAGGTCCCGGGTTCGAACCCTGCCATGCCACCGATCTTGTGCCCTTGGGAAAGGCACTTTACACGACTTTCCTCACTTTACTCAGATGAAAATAACTCTGTTGGTGGCAGGCATAAAAATAAGTTGGAAAAAATTGTGTGTGACGGTCAACACGTCTTGTGATTACATGTTGAAATACAAAAAGCAAATTTATCTTAAAGCAATTTGCACATTTCTAAAGAGTAGAAGATAGACCTCCGGTCTACAGCCTGCTTCAGTAATAAAATCACCATCATCATCATGCATTACACATGGCACACCCCGCAGGAGCGTCTCCGTATCCATAGAAACCATGACGCATTGATACAAATCCTGCTAAGCAAACGACTTAAAAGCGGTAAACACACAGATCTTGATGAATTCATATGAATGCCTACCATTCATTATAGCAAAACACCAGACTTACCCCTGCAAAACACACACATCGCTACCAGAAAACACACCGTCTGTATCTTTAGCGACCTTTGAAGACGGTAACATCAGAAAAGATGGATGATTTGAGCAAAATCCCTGTGTTTTGCAGTAATGAATCTCATGTTGTTAGAAGGATTCAAATGTGTTGGACTACGCACACTCCCACGTAATTCATAACAAACCCGTTGTTTGAGGCACGTGTGATGTTTTAAAAGCCACTCCTTTCATTATGGTATATCTGGGTTTAATCTTAAAATCGTGTTTTATCACGTTTGGCAAATTTGAGTAAACTTTGTGCCAAGTATCTCTTTGCTACTCATGTCTACATCTATTCCAATGCAGGGCTCGAAATTGAAGGTGGTCCAATGGCCACTGACCACTAAACTTTGGGCTGGGACAACTAAAAAGACACTTTGGGACATTTTTTGGACAAAAGAAAAATAATCAACATCAGAATATCAGCCTTTCTATTCTTTATCGGGCACACGTCCCGGCTTTTGGTTCCAAATTCCCTGTCTACTCTGCAATTATAGCGCGCCTGGGAGTCAGAACGTAAGCAAAATAAAGTTGACTTAAAGTTGGAGCCATACATGTAACTGTTACATACTTCCCACAAAAACAGGTTGGGACAGTTCATCCTCCCTTTGGGACAATTAAAATATATTTTGGGGACAGTGCTGGGACAATAGGAAGAAAAGTTAATTTCGAGGCCTGCAATGCCACTCAATACAACTGTACCTTTACTTTACCTCTTGCAATAATATCAAAACACTAAAATATACTTTGTACATGTACAGAAATTTCATATCATTCATCTAATAGGATTTTGTGTGTTACACTTTACAAATATTGAAATATTTACCTTTCTCAAGTCATTATTCCTTAATTGATGCTCACTGTTTGATTTAGCTCACTGTATGACAGACCCAGGCAAGTTGTGTATAGATACTACTACCAGTTCTGGCTATCAGATCTTACTATGTACACACTGGCTTTATCTTCAGAGGTTTGTGGATTATGGACTGACCATAACAGAGTATGATACCGATCTATACACATAACTAATGTACTCCAAAATAAACACGAGATACCGTCACGCTAATACCTACAATCTTATCATGTGTAGAGTCATGTTAGAGTCTTGCTTGGTCAACGTTACTAAGTATAGATATACTTTGCTTTGAGTTTTAGATTGTGCTTTAGATACAATCGAGTGCAATGTATGCCGACTACTAGTACGTGCTACACAAACATTGAACCTACCTCACATTTGTAACGAGTACTAGTATTACTGGCACTCAGTCAAGCATTTCCAGACCTCCCGTTTCAAACGTCCAAACCACAATGTTTGGATGTTAACATTGCCAACGGCAGTCTTTGGTATATAAAAGGTTTTCCCGCCGACAAAAAAGATAACAAAACAAGAAGCTCTCGCCGCAGTGTACCGAGTTTATGTGTATTTACAAGTGCAACTTGGTAACGCTCCATTAGTAGCTGAAAAATCACTCCTTGGCTTTGAGCTTCGATCATTAAGGAGATCGTACTGAGGAATGTTGTCATGATTTACTGCGCGTTCTAATCCTTGCGTCAACACCGCTGTTTGTTGAGTGTGATCGCGGCATTGCAGTTCAAAAGGCGCGGAACAATGCCTGAAGATTTCTAATATTCTCCGCCCACGTTAAGTTTGTCCTGTTGTGTTATCAAAACTGTTATCACCGCCGGGTTTCAAAAGAATCCTGTTTTGCCTGTATATTTTAGACTGGAGTTCAGGTCCTTGACTGAAAAGAGTCTCCTTTTAAACAAGCTAGGACAGCTTCGAGGCGACGCAAATGACTCGTTAGCGCAAATACAATTTATGTCCCAGACGTGCGAATTGTTTGTTAGGTCAACACGGTTAACACAGCTCCGGTACTCATACAAAGGCCACAATAGACCACCCTTTTAAAAATGATGATTGACGTCTTCCCTCGTCCAATCGTAGCGCGGGGATACACTCAGCGTAGGTTCCGGTGCTATGGCGGCAGTATTCTCCCTCTGGAACGCTTGGCACCCAGACCTTTTAGAATTTACATCTCTCGAGCTTTTCTTGTCCAGAAACCAGTCTGAAACGCGTCTCGGTCATTTGTCTTATTTGCCCGAATACAAAGGTTATTAAAGAACTGTCAACTTGTTTGAACAAAGCTTAAGATTGCTGGCCTGGCTTCTCATTGTTCCAGTTATGACAGCCTCAGCTTTTCCCAGCTTGTCATGTGTACAGGAAAAAATAAACTTGTTCCAGCGTGATATGTACAATCTAGGAAAACGTAATTTTCCCACTCCAACAAGGCGGTAGAGGAATGTGTACGTAATGGGGTATAAACAGACAAACATTCTGCAGAATTAATGCCCTAGTTCCTTCAACAACGTCTCTTACAGTCGACAGGTAGACAGACTATAGCCCAAATTACACATACGTCTGGTCATGCAATCCCTTCAGAAAGCATGAAAGGTAACGTTGGTTGTATTGGGTCACCGGGTCATCTTTAAACCACTATAATCTGTCTCAGCCCACTGCAAATACCACAAGAGCTATGGCCACCATGGAATCTTAGTTCTCCCTTCCCCGGAACTCAAAGTTCAATAATTTAAGGATGTTTGATCGTCTAGGACTCAGGAATATGTTGGTATTGAACAGTTTTAATATTTGAGGTTCCCACTGGTTTATTCAACGACAGGCTGGACTTAAATGAAACAAAAGGTGTTTTAGTGTAAATATTAGCATGTTGTGTTATATCTATAGGTTATGTTATGTTCATATTATACCGGTTGTTTGCTTGCACTTTGTTGAAAAGTTTTAACCGTTTCATGGCCGACTAATGACTTGGCGTTATTAGGTCAAGTCGACATGTAAATCTTTACAACAACAATTCAACATGTATTGAGTAATATTTGTTATTTATCCTCAGGTGAGAGGGACTTGAGTCTAGCGTGGCCCCCAAAGAATGAGGACAATGCGGACCGTGCCAGTGTACTGCACCAAGCTCAAGTGCTTCAACGTTCTTCCGGTCATCACCATGGCACCGGCAGATGAGGAGAACCCGGTGGACCCTTTCTCCTGCCTCCCTGACGAGCTCATCCTCCGGGTCTTCTCCTTCCTCCAGCCGGCGCTGGTCCATCTGCCTCCCGTAGCGCAGGTGTGCAAGCGCTGGTGCGGACTTTGCCAGGACTCGAGCTTGTGGACGTCTTTAAAGTTTTCCTCCACGACGTTCAGCTCGACGCAGCAGGAAGACGTCTTCTGCAACATCTTACAACGTCGGGGAAACGTGCAAAGAATAGACCTGAGCGCCTGTTGGAACCTGGTGACGGACAGGTACCTGGAGCATGTCGGGAAGAACTGCAGTAAGCTGACGCAGCTGAACATTTCGGGCTGCCGGCGAATCACCGACCGGGGATTGGCTCACGTGGCCAACGGCTGCAAGAAGCTGCGCAACGTCGTCATCCACGCGTGCCCGGAGATCACGTGCCAAGGCGTCGTCTCATTGGCTAAGCAGTGCGTGAACTTGGAGGAGCTGACGATCAGTGACTGTGAGGGACTGTGGCGCGACCCCCACCGCATGAGAACGATCCCGGCCTACTGCACGAGACTTAAATGCTTCAACGTGGGCTGGTCAAGCGCCTCCCGTGGCATAGTCATCGACTTGGACATTAAACACTTTGCCATGTACTGTACGCAGCTCAGACATCTCAACGTCAGGAGCTCGCAAATCACGGACAATGGTGAGTGTACATGAATTTATATGTTCTCAGCTACTCTCCATTCTCTATTTAATCTAACAAGCTTAACCAGCTCCAGGGCGTGGTTAAAATTGTATGTTCCAACCAAAACAAAACCTAAGAAAGGCAATTCTTGAGATTCTTTTTCTCCTTCTGATAAATGAGACAGACGCTGCTATCTCATTTAATATCAACAAATGAGATAGATGTTGCTATCTCATTTAATATCAGTCAGAAAATGCATGAATTCTACTTGTGGGGAAAATGAGATAGACTGGTGCTATCTCATATTTCTTCACTAATGAAAAAACTGAGAGAGAGCATGCTGCTTAATTTTTTTCATCAGTTAAATACACAATACCTAAATTCTGTTTGAGTGAAAAAAATGAGATAGAATGCTTGAGATTTTTCTACTGATGAAAAAATGAGATAGATCAAGCTGCCTCATCTTTTCACAAGTGATAATATACTAGTACATAAATTATGTTTCAGTGAAAAACTGAGGGCTATCTTTTTTTTTCACTTGTATGAGATGTATTCTACTACTGAAATTTAACAAAACACTCGCAAAAAAGTATGTTACTTACGCAGGCCTCTTGCTCTGCTGTCTGATGCGGTCCTGAGCCTGAAAAACAACAACAAAGATATCACCTCTATCCAAACCACCCAGCTTTTCCAATTAGAGCTTTTTTCTAAACTTCATAAATAGTCTGGTCTAGTGTATATCGTTCCAACTGTAACAGTAAACATCCAGGGAACCGTCGTAGATAAAAACGACGACAGCGAGAATACTAAGAACTGCAGTCGAGCAGTTAAGAATAGCACTAAATAGCATGGGGAGATAGCATGAGTTCAAAATCAACACAAGTAATTATCAGCTACAAACTGTACCAACTGCTCTATTTAGACGAAATTGGGTAATCAGGTGGAGGTCAAATGCAACCAGTGTCAACGGCGTCATTAGACGTATTTGGGTAATCAGGCCATAAGGTCATGACTTTGGGGTCACCCACTGGGTCTCCCTCCCTCCGTTCATCCAAGATTCCAACCCCATTTCTTTCCGCTCCCAATTTTTAAACAAAGAAAAACGCAAACTCACCACCTTGAATCAATGAATGTTGAACTGGGCAAAGCTTTGTCAAGTACTAAAAACGTAGATGCCTCTAGCTAGCCAACTTCGCAAATGGCAGACTAGTGTCGGGCTACTAGCTACTCGAGGCAAAAGAAAGCCTCAAACTCACCCGCAAACTCACATGTCGCCACGGCTGTACTCTACCAAAGAACGTTCGAGAATTCCACAACGCCTTCTTTGGCTTCCGAGACGCCCCTGTGGTGCATTTGTGGACTACTTTGAGGAAAAATCATTGTCTTGCTTGCGTCATCTTTCAAACTTTGGCGGGAAGAACGAAAACCAAAATGTCGTCCGTTTCACCTCAGATCGACCTCGGATCATACCATTTTCGGTGGGGGCTTGAAAAAAATCTAAAGTACCTTTAAAGCATGGATTTTTGTTGTTTTTATGAACGATTTAGTCTTTGTAAATCTTTATTTTGTATTTTCATACAAAATTTCTGAAGATTTTGGTCGGAACAAATTAGTACATGTGACTTCCTGATCAAAACAATGTAGGATCCCAATGACCTTATGTCCTGATAACCCAAATCAGTCTAATTGACACCGCCTGCACTATTTGCAGTTCACCGCCACCTGATTATCCGAATTTGTCTAAATAGAGTAGTTGGCACTGTATGTAATAAATGGTTATTGACATTCCGATTACGGAACCGCGCCATTTATTCTACACACAAAATTTTTATGCTACATTTTATTACAACAACCAAACCTGTACATTAAAAGCTACTAGTAAATGACACATGTATTGCACAAAACATACATTTGAGTATATCAAATAAAGAAGAGTATCAAACATACAAAAGTTACAGGTGTGACACACATTTTGTAGGTTACAAGTTTGATTTTTATTTTTCTGTATAGGAATCGCGTACATTGCGCAGTACTGCCGACTGTTGGAGCACCTGGACCTGGGCCACTGTTTCATCACCGATACCGGCATGAAGTGTCGCTTCCCCCGCCTGCGCCACTTGGACCTCAACGGCTGCTGGCACCTGACGGACAGCGGGCTGAAGTACCTGGCCGCCAACAACCCCAACCTGGAGTACCTCAACATTGACTGGTGCTTCCGAATCACGGACAAGGGGATCGAGCATCTTGCCAAGCGGTGCCCCAAGCTGCGTCACGTCAGCATGGCCCACTGCTTCAGCGTCAGCAATCGCGGGATCAAGCAGCTATCGCAGAACTGTCCGGGCATCGCGGAGCTGAACGTCAGCGGGAACTTCCTCCTCACCGACAAGGCGCTGCGGTACCTGGCGGAGTCCAACACCGTGTCTCTCAGGACGTTGAACGTGGAGGGCTGCACGCGCCTGACCGACCAGGGGATGGGGCTGCTCCTGCAGACCTGCGCGCAGTTGGAGAGGCTGAATGTCCGGGACTGTAGGAACTTGTCCCCCGACGGAATGTGGCTCCTGAACAACAACATCCACGTGGAGGGACTGTGCCAGCGAGAGATTCCCAGTTTTCTGTGTAGCTGATACTCACTAGATAGGGTGTATAGGCGCCGGGAGTGCCTCGCTAACTTGCTTTTGTGGATGACATCTTCTGGGTACTTTGGTGTGAAAAGTATGAAAATTCTGGAAAAAAGGGGAAAAAACATCGAATGTCATCCTTAAAATCAAGTTTGTGAGGTATTTAATTTGTAGACTATTGCACATGCATGTTGGTGGAAGACTGTTTTCTATGAGGAGACTTCCAGGTACATTTCATTGTGGATCAATCTTTATTTGATAATTCGTTTTGTAGCTCTACATTTTTGTCTGGGGTAGGTTTACGCCTAAATCTTTTGTATTGACTATCATCTAATAGAAACAAGACAATTTGCAATGGATGTGACGCCATGTCACAAGAGTAAAACATAGGAAAAATGATCATTTGTTTGAACGTTAGAGAATGGGGAATGTCCCAAAAATGTGCATACATGTTAATCACTGTCAATGACTCTTCAATGCAGACCTGTTTGTAAAATTTCAATATGTGGAAGTATCGTACTGTTTTAGTATATATTGTTAATATACATAGGCCAGAATTGACAACCAGTCTCCTGTTGAATGCATTTGCTTTGGCAATGCGTTGTCTTCTCTGAACTATTTGGGAACCGTTATAATTAAGAATTTTGAAGTGCAGTTCACACATAAAAATATCTTGTTCTACACATTATACAAAAAAGACAGACACTCCCGTAAAGTAGCATAGGTTTCTCAATAGAATTCACATACTTTTAGCATGCAATTCCCTATGTATGAATCGTCATTGATAATGGCAATGATACAATGGAGTAATTATAGTATATGATAAGAATGATAGATATTGTTAATATTGTTTTTGCCAATCTGGAACCCTGTAAGATATGTGTCCGTGATGATGATTCAGATTTGTAAGGAAAGACAGGGTATTTTTTTTCATAATTGAGCGGTGAAGGACTGCTGTTATTAATAAGGCCGTACAAACTTGATTCTATGGATACCATACCAGGAGACCATACGACAGTGCTGAAATTGCTCTTTTTTGTAATAGATATTTTACAGATTCAGACTGCTTCAAATTCTTGTTCAAAAATTATTATCCGCTCTTTTCATTGCATAGGCAAAATGTTCTAGTCATTGTCATCCATCAAATCATGTTTTCATGGTCTATGATCCAATCTTCTGTCAATAGTTTGTTTCTAGTGGCATGTGTAATGGTAACCTGGTGTCCAGTCTGTCGTGGTTGGGGTGGGTTTTCTTCGGGGCTGCAGGAGCTCTTCCCCGCCCGACTCAGCTAGGTTCCCCCGGTAGGTTTTTCACGACGGGGGATTGACTAGCACCATCACTATGATGCGAATCAACTTCCGGGGTGCCAGACTCTTATTAGCAAAGCTCCTAGCGGGTAATCTGTTGTACTGGGCGGGGGAAAACTATTAGAGCCCCGAAGAGAGCTTAACCCAACCACGAATAGACTGGATACCAGGTTAGTGTAATGGATGAAGCATTGTGCTCGCACCGAAAGTCAATGCAATACACTTGCAACATGGTGCGATGTGGACAACTCTTGATTGTAAGTTCCGTGTCTTGTTCTGTGGATTACAAAAATAATATATTTCATCCATACCATGGTATGGAGTGAAATATAGATATTGTTCTCGCAAAAGCCCCCAGGCTTGAGAAGAACAATGATTGTATTCTTGTCTTTAAAAAAACTCTGAACATTAAAACATTGGACATGAAGCAAGGATTTCAACAAACAGCTCAAGATCATAGTTACAGGTGGCGGTATCCCGACAACTATTATATGATTTCAGAATGTCAATTTTTGATAATTGTTTGATTTGATTTTGATGTTTTTATCCGGCAGAACAAAACAGACATATTCCAGAATATCTAGATACGAAGATTGTTCATACGTCTTTTGACATTGATAACAAGTCTTTTTGTTAACGTACTTAAGCTGAGAAATGAATACATGTACATATATGTACACATCCTAATCGAACAAAGAATGGTGTTTTATGTAAATGTGCAAATGGTGTACTTTCCTGTATATACTAGCTTAAGGTAGACATCACAGCATTCTTTATACATTTAACCGCTGCATTGTTGCTTCTTTTACCCTTTGTTGTACTATGCTTAAGTGTATTTATTTTCGAGAAATTGTTATTTATTAATTGTGGGTGGGGGATACATTGGTAAATAAAGCATTCCATTTTCTATCTATTTCCAGTGTGTTGTCCAATTCTTCTTGTAGATGCATACGGCCAGATATTACAGTTGATTAGGCCATTTTGATTTGATTATATGGATGACATCCTCTCTGGAAACCCCAAAACTGATGCAAGCGTGCGAATAAAAAAAGTTTGGCAAAAAAAATCTACGTGGTCATAAATTTTGAACAAATGACTAAACGCACTGAGTATGGTATGGAGATAAATAATAGACTCTTCATTGTCATTTCTTAACATTTTCTTCTTTTCCTGAATTGATTTTGGCATTCTATGACGTTAGTATCGTTTTCCAATACTTTTTTTGGCAACATACGACATACATTCACTCATTTTGTACAATTTACAGTATGGTCGAAACCTTTTCTTGTAAACGGACGAAAATTCATTCGCGCGATGATGTCATCCATATAATCAAATCAACCTGGCCTTATTGAAGTTTCTATGATGCCTCCTGTCAAACGAACACTGTATAGTACCAAGGACATGTCCAGAAGTTACTTTAGCGCCACCTTGCGGCTCTTGTTATATGGCAACCACTCATGTCACTGATTTTGAAGTAGTAGTTTACGTCTTATGAAAATTAACATGTATAACTTGCGTTGACATTATATGCTCTTAATATAACTTAACATGTCACTCATGGTGTAACCCAACACTAGTTACCATGGTGACAGCCGTCTGGTTCAGGTCATTGACCTTATTTGTCTGGAGAAGAAGAAACAGAGTAAAAACAAGATGTGTTCCCTTCTGCGAAGGGAAACATAATGAAGAAAATAGACTCAAGAACATACACTTTAAAGTAATGTCATGATGCCCATCACATCTGGTCAAAGTATCAACCCTTTAAAGGTGATTTTCATTACACGCTTGAATGCTCCTACATCTTTATTATTCCAACATTTTATGACTAGACATGGTGACGGGACACTCAAGTTATTTCAAGTTATTATATCAAGCCACCAATGCAGAGGACAAATAGAGGACAATACTCATCTTCACTTGAGTCAAGTGAAGAGAGTCGTGTAAAGTGTCTTTCCAGAGGGCACAAGATCGGTGGCATGTCAGGACTCGAACCCGGGACCTCTTGGTTCCGAGTCGAGCACTCTACCGTTGCGCCACGTGACCCCAAATTTGCATTCTGGTGCCCCATTTCCCCTGCACACCTGGTGATCTGACCTAACAAGTTGTCTGAATATAAACAGTCGTAACTTAAGTACAGGCTTAGTTGATGTTATCTTGCATGAGAAGAGCATCAAAGCAAAAAAGCTACATTTTCCTTAGTCGCACACTTTGTCGTCACTGTGACAAAAAGTGTGGCTTTAAAACGTTGTTAAGTATTCCACGTTAAAGCTTAATTCTGCGTCACAATATTCGAATAAGGTGAGAGCAAAATCTCGAGTAATGACCTAAATTACAGATAAGAGGACCCACAATTGCCCACCTGTTACAAAACCGGTCAGACGACTTGTGGTCCCTCTGTGGTTTGGCTGAATAAATCTCTCAAAATCCGACATAAACAAAGAAAAAATCTGCTTTTCATATTTCCATACAATAGAACATTAAAAACGCTTGTATGAGAAACGTTAAGGGTTTGCACTTATGTGTGAGCATACTGAGTCTGCTAAATCACAATTCTCCAATCGACTTAGAAGCGAAATACTAGTTCTAGCCATTGTAAAGACAATTCGTTGTCTGTTTGAAGTCAGCTTAAGAAATCAGACCACCCATATAACAAAACATCACCACAAGCAAACGCGTTTCGATAAAGGTATTTTTTATTAAAGTAAAAAAGGTGACAGTTATATAATACAAACCACAGAAGCAACAAGCACACAAGAACACGAACACAAGAAAGTTAAATACATATTTTAACTTATGATATGTACAACAGTTACTATTTGTCATAACTCTGTTGGTTACCATACTATTGAAGCCAGAGCCACACTCGTCGTACAATGATTTTCAGCAACACAGAACTAACAACCGACAAGGGTCTACGACAATCTTTTTCCGCCAGAAGACAGCTAATTATAACATGCGTACGACTAACCCACGACTGTCCCACGAACGTCCCCGATCTGCTGTTGTAAAGTCGTGCGACAGAACCCTCAGTACTAGTTGAAATGTCAAGGGCTTGTTTACCTCTATGACGTAAAGAGTACAAAGGGCAGCCAAGGCCTTACCGAACAGGGTGGATTGGTTTTGGCCTTAAGGGCTTCAAATAACAACAAAAAACAGAGCTAGCGGCTGCTCTCATGTACAAATGAAGTAGAAGAATGACAGACGTTACCGCCCAAAGTTGTCAGTTCTAAACGATCTCTATTGCGACGTGGCGTGCGACGTAGAAGTATAGAATATCATAGCGGTTACGTATACATGGGATCAGCTATGAATACTAGAGCATCTCACCTGAAATTAAGCACACTTATTCTACAATTAAGATTATGCGGCATTACAATCTTTACAGCAAACACGGTACACAAATTTTGTGGCCAGTGTCAACAAGGTACAATTAAGTTAAGAAGGACCATGTAACGTTACATGATTATTAATAATCTGATATAAAAGCTATAGTAGCTTCAGCCGTCATTAACATAGATATTTATACTGAACAACAACCATTAAAAAAGTATGGAACCGAGTTACGAACTCTCAGGAGTTTTTCTGTTGTCCGGTTGGATTCAATAAGAGTCCATTCCCCGACCAAGGTGAAAAACCAACTGGCTGGAACAAATTGTCCTGAACAATGAGAATGACTGTCTATTTTTAACTAGCTCTAGTCTACACGTCGTCCGGTCTTCATCCCTCGTTGTGTCGGTGTCTTTTTGTTTGGTTCTGCCACGCTGCAACATCCACGTGTCAGAGGTTCAGTCCCTGTAGCAAGGAGCTTTTGTCGGTAAAATAGGGAAGAGAAATCGTTTGTCGAAAGTTCGAAACGTTGAAAACTAGTGAGTCCCTTCAGGGCTGTTCTGTCTTCTCTCCGAGGCTTGGTAACAGACTTGTCCTACTGGAACTTCTAGTCGGGTTGTCTGGCCTCCATGTTCCAAATGTTTGTTTCTAACTACTAGTATTACAGACGACATGTACCAAAAGCGTAGCCGTAGCTTCTTATTGTGGCGGCGGAGAGTCCGGTTCTTTCTTCGGCTTAAGGTTGTCTTCTGGCGTAAGCTTGGCTTTCGTCATGTCTTCTCCTTCCATAGGGGGATGCCCCTGTTGTCCTTCGTACTTCTGGCTGGTGAAGGCCTCGGCGATCTTACGGTAGCGGTAGAGCATGAGCAGGGAGATGTACAGGACGACAGCGAGCCTGCGGTGCCGGCACATGACGGGGCTGGGCACCGGGTGGAAGCGATGGTCGCAGTCGTCGCACAGACACAGCGCCATGGACTGGTTGTAGGTGATACAGGCCGGGTCCAGACAGACCCACGTCGCCAGCCCACCGCAGCCGCCGCACGCAAACGACCGCGCCTTGTCGTCGAAGTCGTTCGCCCGCTTCAGGATCCACTCTGCTCGGGAGCCCTGGTAGGTGACGTGATCTCCGAGTGCCTCCATCTCTCAGTGCCGTACAGGATCCGTGATCAGAAGAAGAAACACGCCGAAACGCAGTTTGCGGAACGAGAAATGTACAGAAAACGAGCGCTAGTATCGGCCAGTGCGTCGTTACTATCTACGAACCGGTTTTCTGTTGGCGCCGCTCCAGCCTGGCTGAACCGGTCCGACCAGTCGGCACCAGAGCTGGCTTACCACAACTAACTACACGTTTGTTGGAATGTATGTTTACATGTTTAAACTAAAACGTGTTTGAGGGTGTGGTCAAAGTGTACAATAACTTTGAATTAAAGGAGATCAAGCTAACAAAAAAAAAGACAGAATGTAATGATACGATCTGCTTAAGCAATCATTTTACCCTTACCTTTTGTAGATGATTTACAATGTATATGTATATGTTTCCGACCGTTCTAACTGGCTGCATTTAGGCGCCATCTAGCGATTTTGCCTCAATCTGCACGCAACAGCAACCCAAGAGACAACACACGGGTGGGACAAGTAATGACAGGGTAAACTTGGCACCTTTCTCGGTAGACAGACACACTAAGTGTTGTGGTAGAATGGTTAAGACGCACTAAGTATTATGTATACATGTACTTCAAAAAGTGATTTGCCCCCTCCTACGTAAGCAATTTGGTTAGTCTGACCTTTTCATCTCATGCATACAAAACAAACACAGCATTGACTTACCAAGGACACCCCCCCCCTCTAGCATGGAGGTGGTACAACGTGTTTCTTACGCCCTCAATTTGATGCGTTTTATCGCCTATTTTGTAACGATGCGGGTTGTCCGAGCGGTCCTGGGTGTTCTGTCTCCCTCACTGCAGAGGAAACTGGACATCTGGGAGGCCAAACAAGCTCAGATGTATGATACTGCACTGGCACTAGGAGGACTACGGCGATCTGGTAGGTATTGGGGGTACTTGCTGACATTTCGTGCGTGTGTGTGTGTCTGTGTCTTTGTTTCAGTGTATCTGTATGGCTGTGTGTTTCTGTCTCTATGTATTCAAGTCTGTCTGTCCACCTGTCTGTACCGGTATATCTGCCTGTGTGCCTGTCTATGTGTATCATACGGTGTGTGTCAGTGTGTGTGTGAGTGTGTGTGAGTGTGTGTATGTGTGTGTGTGAGTGTGTGTGTGTGAGTGAGTGTGTGTGTGTGTGTCTGTGTGTGTGTGTGTGTGTGTGTGTGTGTGACTCAAAAGAAAATACCAAGAACCAAAATCGAGCAGGATCTAGGAGATGAGTGAGTGAGTCGACCTGAAGACTCGATAAATGATCATGTTGACAACTTCCAGACCTTCACGTCTTCTTCGTTCCGGACGTTGTTGGAGGAGTATACGCACGCGCTCCTGTGTGAGACCAGGGTGGGAGGGAAGGCGCCTGACGCCCCGGCTTGTGTCCGTGACGGACAGACGGACGCTCGCTTACTGGACTTCGCCAAGAAAG